ATCTAAAAAGCAAAATGAATACTTTAGTACCCAGGGTACCAAAAAAGTGTCCCAGAACTCCCTTTTTCACCCTACTGGTACTGCTATTCAACCCTGGCACTACAAGTACATGGGGTGTTGAAAAACACTACCACATATGAGCCAAAGTTACAGCATTAACAAATTTGCTTGCACAACACAACTTTAATATTATTTCTATTAGGACCACCTCATTCCTATATCTCTACCAAACCTATCATCATTGAGTCCATCTTTATAACCAAATTCAATGATGCTTTCAGCAAAACAACTGCTTTATCATTCTGCTGTTGTTAATAACTTCAATCATTTAATCAATATTACTCATATTATCAAATTTTTAATTATGATCAAATGCCTCATATTCATTCTTTTCAACTCTAATTTTATCTGAATCAATTATTATTGCTCTACCATCTAAGCTTGATTTTCTGCAATCTTTAGGTTTGTTGTTTATTTTTGCTTTTTCTTTGCTTTGATACTCTTTACTAATATGCATTATCCTTTTTCTTCTTGATTTATTCCCTTTAACATTTTTATATTCCTTGACACCAATATTATCCAATTCCATAATCTTCACAGATCTCAAATTATTTATTTCCAGGCTTCTTTTACCAAATTTCTAAACTGGACAATCACAAGCTAAGTGTTCTGGTTTTTTGCATTTGTAGCATAATCTCAAATGTCAATGTTTGCATCAGTAATTATGGCACCTTTGAACTCCATATCAGCTTTTCACAGCCTTACTTACAAAAGAATTAATGTTTTTAATGACTTTCTTTATAGGATTTATTATTCCCACTAACTATTCATTTAATTCATTCTTGATTCTATACAATTTAATATCTAAAAGTCCTTCGCTGTTGTCTTTAACAGGCTCATCAGAGCTATCCAACAGTTTGACAGTCCTTTTCTCATCATACATATTTTCTGAATATGTTTCAACCCTCTGAGCACAATTCTTCACATCATCATACATTTTGAGGTAATTCTGATTTACTTCATTGCAATATTTTTCAATCAGGCCTTTTATGTGCATCCATTTTATTTCAGCCTCCTGATGAATATATCCTTTTGCCACTAATACTTGAGCTTTGAATCAGTTAGTATAATATACAATTAATTCATCTTTGCCTTGTTTTATGCTCATCAACTTGATTAACTTTATATCACCATCATACGATGTTTTCACTTTCCTTTTCATGTTAAACTTTAATTCATTCAACTTTTAGTTATCTGTATTAAGTTTCTAATCCATGGCTTTAGTTGTTCAGCAACATGTCAGCTCACAATCAACTTCATGCAAGAATCATTCCACCAGCATAGGCTTCGAAGTTGAACAAAAAATCATCTACACTTTCTTCACAATGATCATAATAATATGGTACTTGAAGGTCAACGGCTTTCATAGTCTTCTCTTTAAACTTCAACAAGAGAATCTTTGTTTACCCAGGTCCTTTGTGTCATGTAGTTTCTTAGTCTACCTTGTATTCGTAGACTTTTACTATCGGTCTTTTCTTGCTTGACTTTTTATTTATGATGACTGGAGTATCGTACAGGTACTCCACCAATTATTATGTATCCACACAGATAACACAGTTTATTCACTAAGAATCAAAGCCTATTCACGAAGAAGCTAAGCCCCTATTTGGATCGATGCCTTATTTATTAATACTAATCGCTAATGATTACAACATTGTTCATGCAGTACTAATCGCTTCCAATTACTACATTGTTCATGCAATCACTATTTTAGACTTTTAATTAAATCGTGATCTTCCGATATATTTACGTAGATCACAACATTCGATCAACACCGATCAATAGTTATATGGGTACCGCTATCCAACCCTGGCGCTACAAGTACATGGGGTATTGAAAAACATCACAACAATAGAGTAGAAAATCCTTTGTTAGATGCATCTTATTAAGAAATGTTGCGAATGTAATCAATTTATCGTTCAGTATATGAAATCTTCTACCATCAAATGCATCTAACTGAAAAGTATAAGTGATCGATATTCACCTTCAATAAAGAATAGTTCAGTTGGAAATCAACTACGAAAAATGCTTCGATCTGCTAACTCTCTTCTTCCTGATAAGTAAAATTATAACCCGTGATCCCGAATTAGAGATTCGTGACATAGTATAAAGCTCTAAGCATACATTTTTTTTAAAAAAAATCATTTCTAATGACTAAAATTATTATCTCAAAACATGCTTTGGTTGCACAAAGCGTCTTTTTGTACAACTTCTAAAATTTATTGTAATGAATATATATATATATATTCCAATAAAAAAAGTTATACTAAAGCTCTTTAGCAATATTATGTAATAATTCTTATAAGATTGAATTTAGTGCAGCTTTTAAATTTTCTTCTTGCTTATCATGCAATAGTAAATTTTACCAGGCTAGAAAGAAACAAAATTTAATATTACACACTCAAGTTCTTTACAACATGAAGAGTATGCAAAATATATTCTTACAAAAAGATGCTAAATAAAAATATATTATAAATTATGAATCAATAAATTTTTATTTCTGGCAATCAGAATCAGAAATCATCGATTTCTTTTTCTTTTTTTTGATCTACAAACTTCACATTTTTTTGCAAACCGCAATAATCGATTAATCGATTTTTAATTTTTTTTTTGGCCAACCAATCGATTGCATTTTTGGTCCGATTTGTAACACCATATAAACATTAGAATATATACTTTTTGTTTAAAATAATGATAGCCAATGAGAAATTAGTTTGGCAAAGGTTTAGGACTAACCCAAACTATAATACTTTAGTTTGGAATTTGGACGGCATGTATATGTCTTAATTTTGAATATAAATGCATAAAATAAAATAACAGTATCAGTTTTTTTCTGCCAACAAATCTTTATTAATTGAAATTTAGAATTTTATAGTCAAAAATTGTAACTTTATAATAACCTCGGAAAGTTTCCGATCATTAAATTATGGTTTAATAAGAAATTTACGACCATTTTAAATTGTCTCGATTAGTAAGAAATTCCTTATGGATAAATAATTTGTAAACAGTCATTATATTTCGTTACACTAAAGCATAAAATATCAAGTATTTTCTTTGCTCCAGACTGATAATTATATATTTGCAGTAGCCAATGAGACTGTTGCATAAGCAATATGTTGTTAGAGAGCATCGTAAAAGTGACAATTAAGGACAAAAATAGGATTCAACTCATGATTACATAATTTATAGATTTGGCTTAGAATCGACAAGAATTAGGCATTTATGATAAGCAGGCAATTAGAAGGACAAATTATGAATTCAGGACAAGTCATGAGAATTCTCTTTTATTAGGAAGGGTCCAAAGGACGGCCATCTTACTCTATCAATACATGCGCAATTATCTTTGAATAAACATTGTACGATGATATTGTCCTCCAACAATATTTTCTACCACCGAATATTATCTCGCAATGATAATACTAATTATATAATAAATGATTAAATCTAGTAACTAATATACAATATCAATAGTCAAAATTAGAATATATAAATCTAGACTATGTTTCTGAAAAAAGACTAACTAATGGTTACGAATTGATCATAACAACATAAACAGGTATTATACGATTTAAGTGATACCAAGGGAAAATGAGACTTCGGGCATTCAATTTTATCGGTTATTATTTATCAGATTCGCCCTTTAAAAATCTGTTGATAACATATATGATATGTAATCAAATATCATATATCATCAGATTTTCTGGGCTGAATCCAATAAAATAATCAATGATAAACTCGAAAGCTCAAAGTCTCATTTTCCCTTGGCAGCAATCATTTGGTTTAATTAGTTTAATCTCAAAGCCAGTGGTTTGCAAACCAAACTAACCAAACCGAACCGAACCATACGCACTCACATTTGTAATGATAATAGTGCGTACTTTTTATCAGCTTTTGTACAAAAAATAACAAAAAACTATATTGTCCAATAATATGTTACTTATGTGATTCACAAATATGGCTTGCAATTATGTGCGAGTATTAAATTTATTTATGCTCTATAAAACCTACATGCATAAAAAAGGTGAAATACGATAATGAGTGTTATAACATTCAAAAATGAAGGAAATGAAAATTTTAAATTTAAAAGACCCATGATCTTAATGTTTTGTTCAAAATATTCTTTTTTTTTTTGGCTTGTATAAATACTCGGATATTATATTCATGCATTTAATATTTATGTTGTAAATTGTCATTGTAAAATGATGAAATTTTTTATAAGGTAGCTGAATAAACGCTAACCGGATTGGAACTCTACTTTACATGCTAAAGATTTTTTGACGTTTATGGTATAGTACTGTATCTCATCAATCAAGCATACCAAGATTCAAACTTGAAATAATATTAACTGCATTTAGATAGGATAATCGTTATGTTATGAAATCATTCGATTTCTACATCCAATCAGACGTTCCTGGTAAATAATGTGATACGTATCATATTAAGTATTCCATTTTCGTGTCACTAATCAACACCTCATAACAGATAACAACATACGTACGTACGTACGTATAAATATACCAGTAATCTGGTTTTTTTTTTGACAAAAAAGAAGTTCATAAGAGTTGAAAAAAAACTTTTATTAAAGAGAAGATATTCATAAAAATGTCGCTTCTATCAGTTTTAATCACTTGTTTGACAGATTGGCCTTCCCTTATACTAGTATTATTGATAATTTATATATCAAAGTTCTACTATAAATATTTTACACGTCCTAATCCATTACCAGGTCCCATGCCAATTCCTATACTTGGGACGATTCATATAATTGGAATGAATCCTCTCACATGGTACAATAAAAATAAGGAGAAAGCCGGTGCAATCTGTGAATTTTATATTGGCTCCGAACGACACATAGTCGTCAATCATGTAAAACATGCTGAGAAACTTTGTAAACCAAATAAAAGCCTCTCTAAACGACTTCCCTTCACTACATTTGAAAGAACAGGACTTCATAATGGTGTAATTTTTTGTACTAATTATGATGCATGGCATCGAAGGAGAAAATTAATAATCCGTGCATTAATGGCAACGGAATTCTTACGAGGCATCGTCCTTTGTGTTCAAAACCAATTTAAAGCTTCTGAAGAAAGATGGAAATCGAAAATAAAAGATGTAATTGAATTTGATTTTAGGGAATGGATAAGATATTTCGCAACTGATCTTCATACTCTTCAAACCACAAAACAACATTCTTATTGTGCAGCTTTATTTGACACAAATAAGAAATTGATTCAAACTGAAGAAATCAAAAAATCTTTAAAGTTTACTAACGGCATACATAAACATTTTTTTTCACTTGGATTTTTTGTTTTCGTCCCTCAATTTGTAATGGATTATGTACCAGGTTTTAGCCATTATAGAGAGAGCTGTGAACGCAATATTAATTATTTGAATGATGTTGTGAATAATATCGTTATTAAAAGAAAAAAAGAACTTGAAAATGGTGCTGGATTAGACTCGGATTTTGTAGATCAACTATTGATTGCTCATACCCTAAAAGATTCTAAAAATGATGATAATGTGACTCCAATAACTGCTAAAGAAGTTACTGTTATTACGTGGGACGTTCTCCTAGCTAGCACCGATACGGTAAATGCTAACAACAATCATTTTTTATATACAAAGTGTATACCGTAATATCTCGAAATAACGCGCAGGGGTGAAGTTACAATTTCCGGCCCGAATTAAGCTTAATTCTGGCCAAGATTCGAAATAACGCCCATGCCCGCTATTTTGAGATTTTACGGTGTATTATATACGTGTATATAATAAATATATTGTTATTGACATATACTAACATATATGTCATATTTGTTCGTATTTTTACTTCCATATTTAACAGACCGGTAATTCACTCAGTTTTTTAATATATTACATTGCGAAAAATCCAAATGTTCTTGCCAA